TTTCATGTAAGTTTAAAATATACAAATAATTTATTAATTTGAAAAATGTGAGCTACAATTCCAAAGTAGAAACACGATAGATTGTATAGTACCAAAACAATAGTGTATTACAATAGCTGTAACTAGAGTTACTGAAGCATCGTTGTCAGTATCAAAATTCCGAGCCGACCATACTCTGTCTACATAAAGGTGCCCTCAAAAGCCTACTTAAGCAGCGATATTTTCAGCCGCCTAGTAAATATGCACTCCCATGTTATACGCTGCACATATTTTCGTTACGGAATCTAATATCAAGCGATGGAAGGCCATTATAAGTTTACTGGGGCGTCGGACCTTTCAGGTTTTGTAAAAATAGTTTCAGAATGTTCGTTTTTCAAGTCGTTGCAGCGTTTTAACTAAATCTAGCTCATGAACCACGGTTAAATAGGTTTAACTTGAAAATCTGCTTAAATTTAAAATCTGTAGCTTCGTGGTGAAATAAAAAAAACTTTAACAGTAGCAGTTCACGTAAATCTAGGTTAAATTTTTGGGACTTTTAAAAAACTCGAGTTTTTACAAAATATATTGTAATTTTGTAAAAACTCGAGTTTTTTAAAAGTCCCAAAAACAAACTCAACATATTTATGAGGACAAATACACAAAATCTTATCATCGATTGATAACCATTAAGGTTTATCTAAATAGAAAGGCATATTCAGTTCTGTCTTGCATCCAACTATGTAGTTTAAAACGAACTTAATCTTCATGCAATATGTAACACTAAACTTACATAGCATAAACAAACCCAGTCGTCGTCTCGAGCGTAATGTCATTTAGTTCTGCTATCGCAGCTGAAAACCATGCAAATATCAAAGAAGAGAAACACACAATTTGAGACATGTTCACATTTGTTCTGCTCTTAGTCTGCACAAAGAAACAAAAAATGCATACGAATCACTGCGAAATACTGCAAGTTGCTGAGTACGCGAACTGTGGCTACTGAATTGAGCGAATATGTGACAATCAGTATTCACATTTTGAACGTTTCTGCAATTTGAAAGAATCTGCAAAATGGGATGTCTGCAGAATGGGGTTAATCAAGCCTTATTTGGAGCTGGATTTTGGAGTTCGCATTCGAAATAAGACTTTTCGAATTGATAACACAAGGAATGGGCGGTACGATGCCTGTGATTTATTACTTTCTCTGTAAAGTATTTATTAATTAGTCGAAGGCCGAGTAAATAATATACGTGGCATGACAAAAAATAGGCAAGTCTTCTTTTCAATCCTACAAACCTGCTTAAGAGGTTGACCATTTATAGGAACGGATTATTTGTATTAATGAAATGATTTTAAAATAGCACATTTATTGATGAAGTAATTTTAAATGAATTTTCCTTTATTACACAGTGTATGGTAAATGACGTTTTTCAAAACTTGTTCGGAACCCTAAAACAAGATCAAACTTACATTTTCCAACAAAAAAATCAATATGTAGAACCAATGCTCCGAATGCTGAGTGTGTAAACAAACGGTAACGAGCAATATGCAGCCACTCAACATACGCTGTGTGCGAGCAAGCATTCTAAGCCGAACGAATGTGGCAATATTTCCAATGCGTTGTATGGACAATGTGTGAACACAGAACACTGGAACGTGCTTTATATGGGCAACTAGCCTTTTTGGTAAACTTTTCAGCTGTGAGATTGTAGCGCAAGAGAATTGATTCGTGAATTTTATAACAATGTCATAAATTGTGTTTGTTGAAATATTTTTAGCTTATCATTCATGTCTTGTTGGTAAATGTAATTCAATAAATAAATATAATAATGTTTGCTGGGACTAATATTTAATTAATTTACTTTGAAGTTGAGTTTAGATGAAATAAAAATATTTAGTAAAATTAAAATGCAATCATGACTTTTTATAATAAAGGTTTAAACAACTTATTTCAATAATACCAAAGAACTATCGCTATTTAGCCAATGGCTTTAACTTTATTAAAGGCTATTTCAAACAGTTGTTTTTTAAACTTCTCATTTCCAGTGTATTCAATTAGTAAAACAAACTAAGAGATCCCGTTACAATTTAATTACTTGCTGGATACAATAATAACTTCCATTGAGCTCAATTCAGCATGGTATTATTAGTGATCTGTAATTGCATGTAGTCAGATTCAAGTTTCAAATTCCAGTACAGTATAATGTTATTCTGTATACGTTGTTCACAAGAACATCACTACGCCGCGTGCCCCGCCGCCCGCGCCCGCGGGGCCCCCGCGCGCGCCGGTCACATCTCTTTTGTTTTTACATCGTTCACATCAGAGCAACTACGCAATTTTAATGTATTTCCTCGTAACAAGATATTCTTGGTAGTAAACCGTTTGAAACACGAAACAGCGTCTCCTTCATCCATAAGAATCCCGAACATACGTAATGAGAGAATCCTTTAGAACAGCTCTCTCCATTAAGAACATGTTTCCAACAAAAAATAACTCGTAATGATTACAATTACATTGATGAATTGGACTCTCATCTGAAAAAGTGCGATATTACTCGTACTTGTTAACAAACGTTAACAGTAACATTGCTATTACAACTTGTTAATGATCGTCCAGCTCTATCTTTTTACAGAGAGCTTCAAAATAATGAGATAGCAAAACCTACAGATGTGACATTTGTTAGACGGTTGTGAGTTTCAATGGGGCACTATTTATATATTCCATAATTTATTCAGGTTTTTGAGGTAAAGTGTATTTTAGTTTTGTGCGGACTTAGGTAGTCCTTCAAGCCCCGCGAGTCGGGACATAATAGATAAATAAATAAATTGTTACACGCCCATAGACGACCGCTTAGGGATTGATGGGTTAAAAAGCGACAGCACTTTTTATAGTGATAAAGACTAGTATAATCGCAGTTCGATTCTCTTCTAACTTAGCGCTTTGGACCTGTTTTGTGTCTTACAAGTGTTTTGTACTAATAAATAAATAAAACATCTAACATTAATTATTTAATCAATAAGATCCAGATTTGCTAATCCTTAGTTAGTAACCTAAAATACTCAGACAAAATGTTAATTATTTACTAAATCAGACGTCGTAGTTGACAGCAGACGGACTGAATTACTAACTTTAATTCTATTTAGATAAATTCGTTTTCGTTACATTCTCACTTAAGTAAGCTAAAACTAGTGGTAAACTGATAAAATTGGTGTACCTATTGAAAATGATTACAGGAGAGTACCTACCGTGGAAGTTCGTGGGATTTCAAGAAACCTACTAACTTTTTCATTCAATAGCAATTTTACTCAATATGTAATTAATAAGACGACAAGAATTTGGTAAAACAGTAATTAAATTCGGCGATCTCAAAAGAATTTTACTTTTCTATCAAATAGCTTGATTTGATTTGATTTAATTGATATCATAAGGTTATAGGAACATTAATAGCTGTTCGTATCTTGAAAGTAGGCACTAGTATAGTGAATAAGAGAAAAGTTCTTGTACAGAAAAAATATCCCTATTTTCTTTTCTTTCGTATAAGGCATATAACCACAAATAATAAGTATAACAATGACATGCTGAAATCCTGAAATATTTTGTGTAAACCATAATTCTTTGCTAGACAGATTGGCTTGGAGCCATATTGCCAACATAATAATTTGGAGAGAAAGTGATAAAGAAGATTATTTAGAATTATCATTTGTGTAATAAATAGGGTTGTTTGTAATAATGATAATATATACGGGTTCAAATACAATAATCTTGTCTAACTTGGAGTTTTTTTTTTCTGAGGATATTATATATATTTTTTTTTATGTGACAGGAGGCAAACGAGCAGACGGATCACCTGATGGTAAGTGATTACCGTCGCCCATAGACACCCGCAGACCCAGTAAAGTAATAATATCCATACAAAACATTTTTAGTTTCATTGTGCGCGATGCCAATCTTTTGATTAAGTTTATAATAAAGTTTTCATTGGTTTTGATCTTTTTTTATACTGAATGCTGAAAAGTGCTTATAAATGGAAAGAGTTAACCCAGACGATGGGTTCCTATTCACTCATGGTTTGAAGGTCAAATTTTTATGTCATATTTAAGCTTTAACTTGTATTACACTAACGGGTTTTATCAACGTATTTATTTATGAATGTGTTCTTTTGTGACTACAGTATTTGAAACATCATAAAGGTAGGTACTGAATAATGTAAAAGAACCCCAGAATTCTTTTCATCGCAAAATACCAAGCTTATTCGATACTTTTAGTCTTGTAGTCGCCACGTGCGTCCAAAAAGGGATATTCAATACCGGTTCGGAACAATTCTTTTGATATTAAACGTAATAAAATTATAGAGAAACACATTTATATTGCCCATTGAACTTCAAGGACAATGTCTTGTGAGATTGTCAAAAGCAGTCTGACCTACAAATCTTTTTTGACTGGATGGATTTCTATGGATGCTTTGTATCATTTTGTATGTAGAATCCGTTGTAAATCAAGGTTACTTGGTCAATTCAGAACTTTTTTGTGTGGATCTTAATTGAAATATATTGTTTTTTTAACAAAACTCCTAACTTTAAAGCACTATTGTTTAAGTAACTATATCTTTAAAAACGGTACAACATAAGTTTCTGATGAAATTTAGCACACTGTATTAATGTCTGTTAAATGCATGCTGTTTGGCTGTAATAAGTTATTATATTGAACATGTCCCTACGTTAATATTTTATAATTGTATTGGTAAACATATCAAAATAACTTATGAAATATTGATAATGACATACGGAATTAAACACTGATGATGCCACGTATAATATGTACAAAAGCTAATTAAATTGTATCATATTGAAAAATTGTGATTTCGCCACAGGTTTCACAGTAATTGACCTAATGAGGTGATTTGTCTTTTCGTGGAATTGATGCAAAATCAAATCAAATCACCATGCAAAATCTAAATTGATAGGACTGCAATAAATTGTGGACTAGTTTTGGTCAGAAAGAGTATGTAATTTCTTCTTACCTTTTAAAATGATACGTGTGTGGCGGACGTTGGTAACTGATGATGTGTAACGGGTATCTAGAAAAGAACAAACATTTTATTATTACTCAGTTTATTTGAATGTTTGTTCAGTTTTCTAACTGATGTACATCGAGTTTAAATTTTATTTTGTTTAGGCGATGGTTTTCTGAGTCTCTCCAATAAGATTAAATATAGGTAAAGTTGACTTTTGGTTATTCAAATAATAAAACAGATTCGAATAAACTAATAATATGCTTCCACATTAATATAAGGAATTCCCGCTTTGAATATTCAATCCTACCACAAAACCACACAATCTTGTGAAAAGGACTCTGAAAAACAAACTGAAAAGAGTCTTGTATGTTTGTTGTAGCTGCTGTTTGTTAGCAAGGAGATATTACTTTCTATCTTGGAAAATAAATACTCATAAGTAAAGGATTTAATATTCTGTGATAAAAATAATTACACGTAGTAAAATAAATAAAAGAGAAAACTCTTTAGTATAAAATATATTTAAACTACACAAAATTGTATAGGAAACCTGAACTTCACGAGTCATATTAGTGACAATAATATGTAAATTAAATATGGTCTTTGACATTTGAAGATACGCTAAACTCGTTCGTTCGTTCGTTTCAGCCAAATGACGTCCACTGCTGGACAAAGGCCTCCCCAAAGGCTTTCCACAATGAACGGTTCTGCGCTGCCCGCATACAGGTTCTTCCTGCGACCTTTACCAGGTCGTCGGAACGCTAAACTATCGAACAACAATTTATATTTTGTTAAATTTCAGTGTACAGCCTGACGTTCGCATATATCTCCCATATCAAATCAAAATTATCTTTATTGGTACTTACAAATCGTCAAATGCTCTTAAGGAGCCTATACATGTCTCATTATTTTTTGCCCTACCAGCGGCATACATAGTAGTCTCTCTCTTATGAAATCCATGGAAAGAGTGGGCTTAGTTCTATTCTTCTCTGCTAGAACCACATGATAGCTTTATATCCCTACATACATTGGTTACCGGACCGATAGTTGTAGAAATCCTTGGGGGAGGCCTTTGTTCAGCAGTTGACGTCATTTGGATGAAACTATACAGCGATCCCTCATATTGTCATAAGTATTCCCTTTACTTCTTTTTTCCTAACGTCGGGAAATGCTTTGCAAATACCCACTGGTCGATGGGGACCGCCAGTGGGTTATGTGGGACTCTCCCCGCCTGCTCACTAAAGACGGACCCTACCCACTAAAACCCAAAATTGTCCACCGGAGCCCAATGAAACGAAGCCGCGAGTTATTGTCCTAGATTCCCTTTATTTGCTAGTTTGTCCTGTTATACGTAGGCTTGGCGAACGATTAGCGTGCTCTCCCAAGCATGAAGAAGTATTATCACTGTATTCAGGTTATCTTATCAGTCACCACCTTTACAGCTCAGAAATCGATAAATAAATTACTGGGTTTATTATTTACTTACCATACTTATGAAAACTGTATTTTAATCATTTCAGATTGTGATTGTAATTTTTGTTTTATTTATTGTAATTTTGGGCTATCTATTTCTGCTTGCCCCAAAAGGTGGAGAGGAGAATGCCATACGGCAGTAAGTTTACCCTTTGTACTCTGTTCAATGTGAAAAGTTTGAAATTAATCAAACACGTTAATTAAATGACAGGTATAGGTGTACCAGAATCTCATGGCAAACAAAAATATTGGAAAAGTGTGTTTTTCATATGGCAATTGTCTATGGTTTAATTGTCACCTGTCAAAGAAAATTATGAAATCTGTCAGCCGCTGCAAAAATTTTGTAATCTCTTCTTGACTATTTGTTATTTTTGTGAAAAAATCGAAAAAGCTCAAGCAAGTCATATTGTTTTCAATGTGAATTGTAAAATAAGGCATAATTCAAAGTCAATCTTTGATTCTAAAGCGCGTCGTCGAGTTGACAGTAAGTTGGACTGAAATATTTTGATACATTTAGTTTATTACCCAATTACGTCACAAGGAGGGTTATGTTTTTTTATATTATTCTTAATAGCTGCTTTATCGGGGTTTTCAGGTATATCTCACAAATTGGTGCAGGGGAATGGTCAAAATGTTATGACCATGTAAAGAAAATTGAAAAAGATTTTATCTCTTTATTTTGATCATCTATTGAAGAACAAGAAATTGCAAGTGGAGTTCTTAGAATCGTTTTCTAGTTTTGAATGAAGTGATAAGTTAAAAGTATGATGCATAATAAAATTCGTTACTTAAATTAATAATACGATTTATTTATTTTTCAAGACACTTTCCCGATGTATAACAACTTTCTTCATACACATACCTACCTAAAATGTTTATTCGTACTTCATGTTCATTAATATTAAAGTCATAAAAGTAAAAAATTAAACAGTATCAAGATCGTTTATTCCAATTTCCCCAGTATTGCTCTCAACAAAGTTTATTTTCCCTATTTGCCATGAGATTCTGGTACACCTATACGAATGATGATATGATCATTAAAGAAAAAGAAAATAAGATTTATTTTAAAGATGTAAAGAACAAAATCTTATGGTAATAGAAATCTTAGTGTTTCTTATTTAAGTGTAGAAATATAAAAGAAAATAATTAAAGAAAAAAAAACATCTTTATTTGAAGGCTATGAAAACCTAAACTTAAGCTACCAGACCGAAACAGGATGAATTTTCTTATCGCTTCTCTGTACATACAAAATAACATACGCATCATTCTGTCCGTCTCATAAGTGACACTATCCACGGCCGTGATGCTATCCGAAACCGCAATCCATTTACTGGATATTACTGGTTACAAGCGGCCATGATTGGTCATTCAATAGCATTGTGAATCAATAACGCGGGCTTCGCTGGCAAATGCCACAGTTGTATGAAATCACCGCAAACAATTTTCATTTATACGAGTTCAGGTGCATGTGAGAGGCGGATGACTGTTCATCATCATAATTTCAGCCACAGGACGTCCACTGCTGAACATAGGCCTCTTATCTCTTCTAGAATGACTGTTATCTGTTACCTGTTACCTGTATGTACTCGTATATTATTATGTGACCTGTATAACCTGTGATTCACAATAGTTTAGACATTATTATTAATTTAATGTTCGTTGAAGTCCAAGGATGGTTTTTACGGCGAGAAAAATTCCAATAATTTCCGGGAAAACCCTTAATTAACGTATCTTCATCTCTCCATCTAACAGTCGATACAAGTAGCTCATTGGTTTTAACAGTTTTGAAATTTCTTTATCAATATTATGAAAAGACATGGAAAATTGTTTGTGTGTTTACTTGTACCTTTCGTACAAGTAAACGAAAACTAACCAAACAAGTGCATTAAAAATTTAATCAGTTATATAAAGTACCTAATAGTAATGTATGTTTAATAATACTTCCCTGTACGAGAATAGTGCGTCATCCAGTGAAGTAGAATACAAATAATACTTACCTGCTTCTTTTATTTGTTTAGCTATGCGGCCATAAGGGCTATATTGCTGTGTACGAGTAACGAACATAGTAATTTGAAGTAACAACAACTTTAGAGTAAACACACATCATAAAGTAATATATCAACTTTTGAACTATGGTATCGAGTCAAAGTTAAATAAAACTTAATTCGTGATCTGACCCTTAGATAAAGGGATCTAAGATCTAAAATGTTTAAATTAAATTATGTAATAAATCATCACCCCAAGATGGATAGACCAATTAAATTGTCTATTAAAAGTGTTCCCTTACTAAATGGATCTGCGGACACGAATAGAGAGAGATGGAGATGTCTAATAGCTAAAGCTGAAATCAACGTAACAGACAGATACGGACACCATATTTATTACTCTAGAAGTGTACGACTGAGAAGAAGAATGTGTAGTGGCAGAATCACTACAACTGGCACTAGTGGGCACCTTTTTTTCTTTTTTTTTATGTGACACGAGGCAAACGACCTCTAATAAAAACGTCCTAACACAGTGATGCCAACTGCTGAGCGCTGAAGCGGGAGCTCCATCGCATTTGCACCCACCAAGATGGCGCCCAATATAGAGTAAGATCCTGTCACTCTCCAGTAGTGCCAACTATTGTGCGCAAAAATCGTAGCTCTCATACATCAGTGAGACTAAAATAAATACTACAACTCGTGTGAGCTACTAGTAACTGCGCACCTTAATGTCACTTTCGCTTGCACTCACTCGCACATCTTCCTGCGTTTACCCCGTACATACCAAAGCGTCGATGTGACGTCACGGCTGCCAGTTCCTCCGTGGTTGAGGATTCCGGGTGAAGCTCGCTTCCACCTTCGGCCTGATCGTCACTTACCATCAGGTGAGATACAGGCCAAGAGCTTCCTCGTTGTGGATAAAAAAAAAAAAAAAAGGTGCGCAGTTAACTCGACCCGGTTGTAGTACTTAAATAGAAACTTAATCCCCTCTTAGTCAAAATGCTGTTGTTCTTAATTTTCCACGCTCTTAACTTGTACCGACCCCTCGGCCAGTTGACCGATTCAAAAGAGTGTCAGTGCCAATTTATATTCTTTTGTACGCGCCGGGTTCGATTATTGCTCCATTCAGCGCTATGTAGAATCTACCACAGTAACTGCTATGCAAAGGCATGTTTTTGTAAGCTTTCGGTATTTTTCATGCTTCTTTGCTGAGTGAGAGAAGAGAGTAAAATTATTCTGGTACTTTTAACTGCCTTATTATGGAACTGTACGTAAATGGCCAACGAGTTAAGATCGTTTCATGTGTATTTTTTCAGTTTTCCAGTTAGAAATCGAGAGGGATGTTTGTAAAAAATTGTGTGAATCTGAGGAAAATTGTAAGACCTTTTTCAATGACAAACATATTCAAGCCTATATTAATACCTATCTGGTGATACAGTAAAATGTTGGGTTACTTTATTTTTCTGCTGTTTCTTATCGAAATAAAAGCCTGATGATTTATTACTTTGTAAATTAGGAACCTTGGCTTTACATTATCTTGCAAAATTTCCAGCAAACAATGGTTTAAAAATGTTAAAAACTTTTTTCTTTTATTATGTATCAGAAAGAAGTATTTTC